TCCCGTTATTCTTAAATCAGACATTCCAAAAGAAACATCCAAATTCTGAATTGTCCCGTCTATGGATCTTGAATTTATCAAAAATCATCAATATTATATAAGTAGAGCAATCAAAGTTGTAGGCTTAAAAATGTGCATCGAATATATACAATGCATTTCAAAATACTGTAACATTGATAGAATACTTTATATTGTTATGATCTAAAGCCCATAAATTATTACCGAATAAAGTCATTCCATTGCCTTTGCATAGCATTCTTCTATATCAAACTTAAAGGTCATGAACCGAAATTAACTTCAACCTGCGCTGATTGGGTACATTTCTCCCGCAAATTCTAGTACTGGCGATTCCTATTAGATCAAAGGATGTTATAGGAGTAATATGATGGGTAACGCGAAAATCAGGACGCGTCGCGTAATAATGGGAAATGATGGTAGAATGATGTAATAATGTGGTAATAATGTGGTAATAGCATGTAATGGGTATGGACGCATCAACAAGGCATATAAATAGGATAGTTTATGTAGTTTGTGAAGGGGAGATCCGAGATTTTAGAGTTTAGTTTTTAGAACACTTTTTTGTTTTCTCACTCGCGTTTTATTAAACAAATGCTATTCTACTTCGCACAACAATATTTACACTCCCTAAAGTATAAACCAAGTATACGCCACTACAGTAAAGCAAACGACTTTAAGAGAGAGATGTGACGTTACCTTTTGCTCCGTGTAGAGAGTGACACTTTTAATATTGAAACATACCTAGAAGGAAAGACGGTCAAGAAGAGATTAGCAAGTGCGCGAAAGTCGGTTAAATCATAATCTGCCTCAGAAATAAAGCCTTGCCTTATTTAGTACCGAAATCCAGGCGTTCGGATTATCGTCACGCGAAAAGTGAGCCATTTTAGCGAGACTTGCTGGTGACGACAACAACAATAAGAGGAAAAAGTTCACATATAAGAATAATATATACATATAGCCTAAATTAATTCCGCTCTTTGTACAAGACACGGTGTCATCGTGATAATTCAAAACAACATCCAATGGTATCACCTAAATAATATATATTTCCTCTAAATTCTCTCTCGATAAATACTAATTCATTATCACAGTGATACCCGATTGATGAAAATCTCCAGCCTATAAATATGGAATAGGAGTGTAAACGAACTTTATCATGGTGTTTTTTAGGTGCTCGTAAATGCATATTTAAGATTATTTTATGCAAAATGTACAAAGTAAATTTCAAAATAATTATAATATAAGACGAAAACCTGATTGTATATTCACGTTCACATTCTTTTCTCCGAATACAACTCAAAAAATTCTTCTAGATATGCCATCAAATCTCGAAGTAATAAATTACGACCTCTTCAAAAATGGGATGTTCTTTCACTAGTGATTAGTTTGGTGAGTTCGACTAGTTTTCCTCTTTGTGTAAGTCCTCTTACATTGAGGTTTGCAATATTAATTCAGGAGTAATTGGAGTTGGACTGTTCTGAGCTTTATGGCTGCGGCTAACCCAAATTCTTGAATTTATAAATAGTAACCATGAATCAATAATTACCTACTGTATATATTAAACCCCCATTTGATTTTACATCCCATATACCCCTCTCATCAGGACTTTAGACGTTCTGTTATAAATACAGCATATGGCTGATTCTTTTTGAAAACAACAAAAATGTTATACGATTTTTTTATCACTATTTTTTGAACAATACATATACAATATAAATTCTAGGAGTACAGTTATTAAGTCAGAAAAATCCCTGTCCGCCTTCAAAAAGAATTACCCATATAGAGAACTACAGTATTTTGCAAATACTTAAGGATAAAAGGTTTTTGATCGGCATTGTATCACCAGTACTGTATCGTTTATGATTTAATTAATGACTTTTTTAGACAAAGTGACGATCTGCGATGTAAAACCCGTGATCAGTTTTATTTACAAAATACAATACTGTAATTGCATTGCTATTGTCCCACATGTCATGTTTAATTCCGTACAGTAATTTAGTTGGTTATAGTAATCAATGCAACCAATTACAGTAATGATCAATCTTGGTTACTGTATGTCGAGAGTTGACAGTAAACGGAATGTTTCAGTTTAATTTACAGGCATACAGTATACAAAAATAAGCGATACACTTAATTTTCCACTTTAGTAATATGTTAATATTTGATTCATTGCACAGTTAAACATCTCTCTTATATGATGCCAGTCGTCCACCACCCAAGGATGGACTAATGGAAACGATAATTACATCAAAGGATTTCAACTTTATAGTATTAGGCATGAAGAGAGTATCGAGTAAATTCCATTCAACATGCTATTAAAAATTTAAAAGATCGAAGAATTAAGATTAGCAGAAGTATCGTTAGATGGAACACTAAAGATAAAAAATAGTGGGATATTACGTATATTCTCATACCCAGTTGGACTAAAAACGCCTAATTATCCGCAAGTGCGTGCGTCGGATTTCCTAAGAAATGTAAGTTAAAAATATTTATTCTGTTTAGATTTAATATAATTGTTATTATTAAATGTTTATATTAATTTATTTATGATTTTGCAATTTAATAATATAACTTGAGTTAATATAAATATAATACAAATGATATATTACATAATAATAACATTAAGTATTATGAACAATATTATAAATTTTGAATAATCTAATATTTATTTTTAATATTTTTGCTATTGATATTTATTATCACATATTGTTATAACCGAATTTTAATTAAATAAATTATTTTATTTTATTTGAATGATATATATATAGCATATTACAGGCTTTTTCAAATATCAAAATAGAGTTTAAAATTCAGACATTTTTAATAGATAATTAATAATTGATTCGTATTTTTTTATTGAGTTTATAAGATCAATTATAATTCCATTTGAAATCTTTTTTATTTTTTCATTATAAATTAATTTAATTTCAAAAAATTGCAAATTAATTTTAATTTTATATTTTTTTTACCAATTGATCAAAGGTTTTTAAATAAATTAAATGAGAATTATTCAAAAGGCAATCTATAATTGCAAGAAAATTTTTGTTTAAAAATTTTTTTAACAATGTTTCATTTTTAATCTTTTTATTCTTAAGCTTATACATCAAATTATCATTTGTTTTAATTTCACATCGAATATGTGATTTTGAGAAACGAAAGTCCAATTGTTAATTTTGCTGTGTGGATACTTTTGTACAATAATACGATACGTTAAATTTTAATAATGAAATAAAATGCAATCGACATTTGGTACATTGAATGCACATATTACCATTGCACAAGAACTTTAATGCTAAATCTTATTTCGTAAAAATTTTAATTTTCTACATCTTTCAGGTTTTAATCAATCTTTGTTAGGCACATGGAATAAATGGCACGAGGAAACATTATTGTGATTGGTGATTCATCTACTAATTTTACCTTTATATGCGAAGCAGGAATAAATTTACCCATATTAAAAATTCGTACTTTAATTCTCAGTCCTTTGACAAAAATTATAATCTCGTTAGTGAATACACCATGCAGCCTCATAATACATTCACGCAAATCCAAAATTATTGTTTGACAATACTGTATACTTTCATTTAGCCATTATACCTTGAAAGGAACGTCAAACCTAATTCTGACGAAAGTTGAAGAAATCTCGGTAGTGTCCTTGATTACTTAATACTTTACTGCACAAAACAAATACAAACAACGTGACAGGCCAATTCGGGACATATAATATTATCATCAGTGCATAGTTTGACAAACAATTTGTCGATTGTGTTCTTATTGATAATCAATCGTTCGATTGAAACAGGTTACAGTACTGTAGTCCGATTCTTAGTACCATCATTTCAAAGGGTACGGGAATTTTATTATATACAATTGTTAATTCCTAAATTGTAACGGAGTAAACAAATAAATAAACCGAAGATTTTTTAATATATACTGTATATCGGCTCATTTAAAGTAGATTATATATGTATATCTATTTAATTTTATTTATTATTTGTTTGCAAGCCATTTTTTTTTTCTTTGTAAATCGATACGCCCCATATTACTGTATCAGATAAAAGTTTTATATGCTATACCCAGATTATAATGGATACATTTAAGAAGAAATTAAAGTTTCTTTTTGTTGTAATACGTGAATTTGCATACTTTTTTTAAATGATTGACATATGAATGAATCCGTTACAATTTTTCAATAAATGAAAAATCAAAAGGATAAAGTTAATACAAAGAGATTATTTTCTCGTAGCACCAAGGTTATATTTATATATTTTAGAACGATAATTATTTCTTTAAAAGGTCATCAGGTGATTGTTGATTCACGTGTTGCTTACGTCATCCGCGTAATTAAGAATCTCATTGTTTTCTTCTCATACATAACAATCGTTCCCTTCTTCTCTATTGTGTCTTGAATGAAACTAAATAAATTTGAAGGATGCATAATTGTAAAACAAACATGTGTCATATCGATCTGATTGAAAATTAAATTAAAAAAAATATGCCGGAAATTAAATGCACATGAGTTTAAATAGTTTGATACGTTGCCCAATCAAAGATGTCTTGATTATCATATTCTATTATGGTTTCATTGTCTGCATTATATTAGGCATAGTGGAGCGTTTACAGCATTCCTATAAGTACCAGGATGCTGAACGTATTGTAAGAAATACGTACATTGCTTTGTATGTAAACATAATGCTTAAGAACCAAGAATGTTCTCATGCTTATTATCTGGCCCAAACCTGTGGTACACGCTGCCGACACATTTTTGACAGAAGCATATTTGGTTATCAGTGTCTGTGCATAAAGTCATTGTATCATTTATGCAAGACAAGAAACTTAAATAGTGCTGAAATGCTCTTGTTGCCCACTCCACCCAGAAACTTTTGCTTATCATCCATCCATCCATCCACCCATCATCAATAATCACGATAAAAGTCCCCTCCATAATTTCCGAACAAAATTTAAAAATACACTCTTTTTTAATGCATCGTAAGGGAAAAAAGACGAGACGTAACGTGACCACAGCTTGCAGAAACTGCCGGAAAAGAAAGTCTAAATGTAGCGGAGAACAGCCAAAGTGTGAGAGATGTTTTCGTCACGGATTAAGATGCGAGTATCCGAATCTTTCAACAAAGCGAGGACCACCTCGCGGAGCAAGAAACGTTGTTAATAAAGAAAATCCAAAAAACAAATTAGGTTTGAACTACTTTGATTATTTATTTATGATTGGTTGGTTAATTCACTATTCTCAACTGAATTCTATCCTTTGTGTTCACGGCAGATGAAATAACCACGGACATTTTATATGCAGTTGCCACTGTCGCTGTAAATACATTTAACTCTTCAATACCAAATATAGAACCTTCATTTGATAGTACCCACAACATGCACTGGTCGTACCCTAATCACAATGTGTGTTTCAACGAAATTCCTGTGCAGTCGCAAAATCTATCGATGTTCACACCGTCTTGTCAGTATTATAACGCAGAGCTACATCTGCCTGAGACATATATCGTTAATCCCTCCTCTTTATGAAACACAGTAATATGTCAAAAAATTTTATAGATTATTGTTTCGCATATGATGTTAACACACATATATCGACTATAACATTCGAGCCTGAAAAGAAAGATAAAAGCATTAATTATCGTTTCGCTTTCAAAGGAAATACGCGTTTTAATTATCGATATTTGATTATTCTCGTGAAGTTTAAATAATTATCAACGAAAAAAAGCGACTATATTACAATACGGATTATAACTTTACGAAAAGCTTTTTTAAAATAAGAGTCTTGCAAAATATATGAATTTTCTTTATTAAAGAACATGAATGGGAATGCAAAGAAACAGCAAAAAGAGTAGAAAAATATCACCGAGTATACTCTGAATTAATGACAATTGAAAAAAAAAAAGAACAAAATGACTGAAACATTCATGTATACTGTATTCATTAATGCAAATATTATAGAATAATAAATGTTTTAGAATTTGTAAATAGTGTTACAAGTCGCGGGCGTTTTGTGTAATGTGATCGATGATCGGTGTCGCGAAATTTCACGATAACGCATTGATGATCAGATTAGTGTAGAATAAACGGTTTGATATTGTGAAATCATTGAATTTAATCTTATCAAAACTAGTAATATAAAAAAACTCTGTTATAATAATTATTAAAGTAGTGAAACGGAGTTCGATTGATATTACAGATAACAAACAATATAAAATTAAACCCAATTTTTAAAATTGTATCATATTACACATTCATTGTTTATCAATCCAAAAAAAATATACGGTCGTATTATATAAGCTCTAGTTTTATATGCTGCATTATTTACACGCGGCATATAAATAGTTGAGATTTAGAATAAAAAAAAATTCGTATTAGGAACTTATTAAAAAGTTGTTCATCATGATAATGATGATGACGCATTTAATTTGCTAATTTTTTTTTTATATAACTAATAATGAATTTTCAAATTAGAAATTAGCTTTATAACAAATTTCGTATTTTTTTAAAGTTTCTACTCTTTCGAAGAGTATAATTATATTATAAAAATACACAGGTGCAATGACAGAATCATCTATGCATTATTATCTGAATAATAAACATTTGTATTTTTAACTATCACACCCGAATATATTATAATTTACACTATGGATACTTGAATACGGAAATTAAATATAAAAATTAGAAATAAAAATATTATTAATTAATATTGTTTTATATTTACAACTTTGATTTGATTATTTTTATCGCAAGTGAATATTAAACGGGCTTTATTAAACAATACGTTCTCAATTATCATATTCATAATCTTTACAATGTATATAAGTTATCATAAGAATTATTGATATAGGCTAATATTATATAAGTGAAGCCATACAATTAATACTAAAATAGATTGTATTTATTTAGAACTAAAGTTTCTAATATTATTATTCAATATCAAGTTGATACTGAATTTACTATTGATTTAATAAAGTAAATTATAACATATATATTAAATTTATTAAAAGTCAGTACTATTTTAATATAGTATTTTGATATACTATTTTGATATTGGTTTGAAATATTATTTAGAATAATAAAATTAGAATAAATATAAATATACTTTTGTTTATAAAATTATTGTTTGATTCCAATGAAATTTGATTTGACTTTTTTAAAATTTAAATAAATTTAAGTTTATTTTATCAAGTTATATATACACACCCCTACAATAAATTACCAGAATGTGTCAATATAATTGACTGATCACAACAAAAAACTTTTTTTTTAAAATGCATTTTCTTTTCAATTTGATTATGTTCACAAAAAATTCCTCCCCATATCTGTTTCTTCTATTTTATAATTTCCTGTTATACAATAAATATGAGGTTCTAAGCTAAGTTTTCAACAACATGAACAAATAATCAGCACCTATTTTTCTGGCACAAAAGGTATCATTATCACCTTTAAACTTAATATACCTTCCTCAATCATTTATAATACAATAAAACAATACAAAAAAATGAATCCCCACATTTTAATACACACCCCGAAAAATCAAAATCCTTTTTTAAACATGACAAGCATTCATTGCAGTGCTTTATTAAAAAAACCCGTTTTGTGCCTCTAGACATCATATTAAGTAAGATTAATATCCACCTTAACACAGCATTCACAACAATACAATTTGAACTTATTTACATAAAGCTAGGTTAAAGAGCTAGATGACATGAAAAAAGCCACTTCTATTAAATAAACAATGTTAGCTCAACTTAGGTGATACAGAATGAAATATAATTGGAATGAAAAGTAAAAATGAATTGCATGGTTTGACAAATTATATTTTGCCTTATTTAAATCTAATAGATGAAAGCAAATTTAGTGCAGAGTTGAGGAAGCCTATAATATAAACTGTGTTAAACTTATTGTAAAGTTTGGTAGGAATCAGTAATGTTTTGGAGTTGCTTCTTATAGAATGGCATCAGCTCTTTAGTACCTATAGAACAAATATTAAATTTGGAAGCTTATGTAAACATTTTAGTTACCAATTTTATATCCTGGGTTCATAACAGTCCAGGCACTATATGTTAGCAAGATGGTGTCACCTGTCATACTGCTTCTTATACAACTTAGTGACTTGAATCATATGCAATTCAAGTTTTAGGTTAGATTGTCCAAAGTTCCAATCTCAATCCAATCAAAAATTTGTGGGATTACTAATATTGCCAAATTTGAAAAAGAAAGCATTTGCCGACATCTATACAAGAATTAATTGATGCTATACAAGAAGAATAGACAAAAATAAGTATAAAAACTATAAGACACTTAATTTTGAGTTTATCTCAAATGTTTTAAGTCATTATTGCAACTAAAGGCAGACATTTTAAATATTAATTTGCTATGCTTAAATTTATGTCAAAATAAACTATTAAGATAATGGTTTATTTTATTTTATGCTGACTATAAATAAATAATTAAAATAAATTTAAATTAAAAAAAAATTGTCAACTCACATAACAATTCCAATAATTTATTATAGGAGTATATATATATATATATATATATTGTTATACTTGATTTTTGCCCAAGATCTTCAATATCTCTTGTCCAATTTTCACTAGCATTGACCCTTGAAATGTTAGCTGTTTTAGAATAGTTTTGTATTACAGATCTGTTACTGCACCTTCGGCATCTATTATATCTATTGCATCTTTATTATTTCTAGAACATTTCTATTTTATTTTATCTTTACTTTCTATATTATCTTCGCCAAAATATTTATCTATATAAATGCTAGCACAGTTGAATATTCTGATAAAGATAATATTTATATCTTAGTTTATATTTTTACCATAGCATATATTTATCATATACAAAAATAATATAACTCAAACATATATATAAAGGCTTCAATTTTGCTTAGAAATTAGCAGCTTAAACATATATTTTATCGAATAAATAACTTAACCTTTACAAAACAATCACCATTGCTTCTTTTGCCTGACCTCATACATCTCAGAATTGTACTAACAGCAAAAAATTATAGAGAATAAGGTTACCTGCCTCAAAAATAAAATTCACATAAGTTAATATTTAATTACTGAACATGATTTTATCAAGGTAAGGTTCATTTTTAAATTTCTTTAAAGATCTTCAAAAACTTATATTTTATTTAAATAGTACATGGTTAAGAGTATCACGAAACAAATATTTTTTGAAAAAATATACTCAGACCCTGAAGATTTTTGTCAAACAACCAAGAAATTTTTTTAGCAAAAACATTCGGAGTTCTATAAAGGCCTCACAAGAAAATGCTAAAAAAACATATTATGAAAACCATATTCATCAAGCAATAATTCTTATAAATATTAATAACTTTAGTTCTTTAGTTATTTAATATCTTATTGCTTAAATAACTCATGAAACAGTATTGATCGCTTCATGGGACTATGGCTTCAAAAATTTGACACCATGTTTTTATTTTTTGGTGAAGGGTTTTTGAATACAATAAATATGAATGCATCTGCTACCAAAATTTTGGCCTAGAAACAATCTCGAAAGACTGCCAAATGCTTTGAAAATCTTCACAAATGTTCAAAAGGAAAGATACAAAGCATGATAGTCCATATTCTCAAAAAAGTCTAATCAAAGGGAGATGCCTCCGACAAACAAGTGGCATTTGCCATTGCAATATGTCAAACAGTTCTTGATCCAAATAATAAAAGTATTTTGATAAATAAAATATTAATTAAAAGTAAATTAGAAAAAAATAAGTTAAGTTTTAAAAGTCTTCAAAGTAATATAAATTATTGCTAATAATATTTTTAAGAGAGAATTAAAAAAGGACTTGGATTCAAAGAAGAAAATTCAAGTAGTGAAGATGAAGAAATAACTGAATAACAAATTATTACTATAGAAGATAATCTGGAGAACTGTAAAAATACTGAGAATGATTTGGAACAATTACTTGAAAATAGAGAATTAGAAAGAAGGACTTTGGCAATAAGTGAAGACTTAGACAAATAAATAAATATAAACAAGAATTATGTAATAATAAATAATTTTATAAGCCAATAAACATTTAAAATTGAATATTAATAGAATATAATACATAAATATAAATATATTTTATTATTATTAAAATAAATCAAAGATCTCCAGAGTTTAATATATTAAGTTTCGCTCTGGAGTCTTTTAATAACAACGGAGGTCTATGCCTGAAAATCTTTAAAGATCTTTGCTAAAAAATTTCCTGATGACCTTCTTGAAGAAACAACCAAAGAAATTCGATGTAAAACAAAATTCAAATCAAATAGTTGATATCCTGGCAACCAAACTTCAACAACATGAAAACATAACTATATTACCAATTGAAAAATAAATTCTTAACAACAAACTGCCAACAAATATAGATAACAATCAACAAAAATGTTTACAATCACAAAGCAAATTTTTCGAAGTCAAAAACAATTAACTTTACAAGAAAGACAGAAGAAGAAAAACTTGAAACCAACTACTCAAAGTCATCCAAAAACATGAAATCGAAG